AAATATCGCGCTTTACACCATCGATATCTGCTCTAATATGATACAAAAAGTGAATTCTTTAAGGGACGAGATTATATTATATTTCCATCGCGACGATAATTTTCCTTTCTTTTTTTCAGTTCGAATATCTCTCCATGTATAATATATATATATACGTATACTATATTAAGCACGCTTCTAATTAAGGAGATACGAATGTAAATTACCGTCTCTGATAGTACGCTTGGACGCCGGCCAAAAGCGAAAGATAAGAATTATTTAGGATAACGCGACACGAGACCCGCATTTCCGTGCCGCGGACAGAGATAAGTTGGAAATTAAGCCTTCCACTATATTTCCCTTCCCTCCGTGCCGTCCACGTTAACAGGCTGGGGCCAATGATCGATCGAAAAAAAAGGCTATTGGACAACGGCGAATTAACATAATCTTAGATCATTGGTCCGTGTCGGCCGAAGATCGGCCAATTTGTCGCTTCACCTGCGCTCATACGCAGGAGCCACATGGAGATTGTGGTTGTCTCTTGCCTCTTGGAACGCCCGATGAAATTTAAACCCTCTCGGCCATACCAGAGACCATATTGTCGTAAACGCGTTAATTAATCGCATTAACGTCGTATATATCGACCATATTGCACATTCCTACATTTACGGTGTGTTGACTCGTGTTCGAGGAAAAAAAAAAAAAAATACGAACGATCGAGCGTTAAATATTCGAGACGAAACGAAAAATTTGGAATATTTCTTAATCTATCGGTGGAGAAAATCCGCGGTATAAGATAAGAAAAGAAATCACGTTCGATACTTTCGAACACGCGAAATGATTCCCCTCCTTCCCTCCCCCCCTTTTCCATTTCTTTTTACCTTCGTTAACACGGGGCAGATGCTGCAATCAAACAGAAATTAAGCTCTGCAAAGTAGTCGGAATAAACAAGCAGATGGACGACATTGAAACAAAGAGGGAGTGGAGGGAGAGAAAAAAGGGAAGGAGGAAGCGGAGGGGATAGAATTAAGGAAATCACCGGTTATATGCTCGCGCTACGGTTGAGTCCATCCCCGATCGTCCGATCGATCTCATCCGATCTCAGGGATTAACGAACCGATAAAGCGTTAGGACTGCGTAAATAGCCGGTCTCGCGGAGAACCGTAGAGAATGACCGCAAACTACCAATCATAGCGTGCAAGAACGCAACGTACACCAAGGACTGGATGGTGCGCACATGTGCCCCATTGCTAGACCGAGTCGTGCACTATAGTATACCTTCAAGCGTCAGCAGTTCATTGAGTCCGGCCTAAGTACGCATACCAGTGCAGCAACGAGCGCATGTGCCGATGCGTCACGGTGCTCCTTTCTTTCTCTATCTTTCGCGCCTGTTCCCGTTCATGTACCGTGCATACATGAAACGCCGCTCTTCTATATGGCAGCACGTATGAATGAAAGAGCGGCGGACGAAGAAAGGAACGAAGGGAGTCGCGTGACGGATTCACGTGTTCCGCGGCTATCGACCGAACCGCCACGTTGCGAATCATGCGTTGTGTATGTGCGCGCGCACGTCGAAGGTATCAGCGTTTTTCGGCTCATAAGAATTGCGTGAGAAAACTGCGAGGAAAATTAAACGTACACCTGTTAATTCGCTCGGCTCTTTTAAAAGGTAAATTAATTTCAGTCACGTTATTTTTCGTTCTCGCAGATGTGAATGTAATATATGTATATATATATATATATACTAAAAGGATTAAACGTGAAAAGACGAGAGAAATTAATATAGCTGGAATAATTAAATTGGCGACTAATTAAATCAATAGAATTAAAGAATTGTTCGAAGTAGGAGTTTTATTTATTTTTTTTTTTTCTTTAGATCGAATTGATAGAACTTTATACGTACTTTTATATATACACAACAATAGGAAAGAAGAGATGATCGAGATAAAGATATCGAAGACTCGATCAAGCTCGATCTTATCGGATAAAATTTCCAAAGGGTTGTTTTCTATCGTCTTCTCTAATTTCCAGGATTATCTCGATCTGTTTGTACACAAACTGTACACGAGCTAAGGGAAGGAGGGAGAGAGGGAGAGGGAGGGGAGGCAATCACATCCTTACAAGTGTCATCGAGGACGAAAAAAGGTAAAAGGGAGGTATATGTAAAGAGCGTGGAGAAGAGGACGGAGAGGAAGGAGTACTTGCGGCGTGGTGGCAAAAGCGAGGCCGGAAGTGGTTCCATCTGGCTCCCTCGTTGGTCTGACCTGTTGAACCACCTCGTGACCGGAAGTATACCATACACACCTACGGGCACCATGGTCGCCACGAAAACAACAAAGGCTTCTTTCTGCCCCGTGACACGTTATCACTCCTCCTACGTATGTTTACTCGATCAACCGGCCATGATTTCGCTCTCCTCCTTAACACACACCCCCTTGTTCCTTACCTTATGATTAACTTACTCTTACTACGATTATCTATAATACTCTCCTAAATTAAATTACGATTTAACAACTCCAGGAATTGAATCTGGAAAGTGATCCAACTCGAATAATTCGAACGAGAAAATTCGATGGATGGAGGAAAACAAGGGGTGAATTTTACGAGTAGGACAGTTAGTTTGCCGGCCATAATGTTAAATTTACGATTGCACCATTGCGCCACAGCACTTTGCGGGACGACAGGCTGCGAAAACTAAATAAAGGGGAGAGGGAAGAGGGGTCGAAAAATGCGATTCGCGCCGGGGAACAATAAGGAGGGAGGGGGACGTCGATTCGTGCTCGAGACAGGTCCAGGGCATTATGTTCCGGGCACAAAGGCCCGCGACGAGCAGTATGCGCACCGTAATAATCTGTCACCCCGTACACCGCGCCACGTATACTTAATACTCGGGCGTTTCGCACAGAGGGGGCCGAATAAGGGTACGGGGGTTCACCGCACCCCATCAGGTTTTGCAACGAGTGACGTCACACCGGCCCAGGAGACTTTTGCGTTCATTGAAAGAAGCGGGAAGGGTGACGAGACGAGGAACCGTTTTGCCCAATAGGGAGGAGATCAACGCTCGACTATGGCGAGCAAATAGTGGCATAATTCGTAAGAGATATGAATTTCGGTCGAAATTTAAAATTTAAATAGAGAGAAAAAAGGAAGAGAAAAACGATCGAATAATTAATTAATTAAATTAATTAATTAAGAATTGGGTGTAGCGAAAATATTTATTGACGAAAAATTGTTGGAAAGAAATTCTGTATCGAGGCTGCGATAAACGAGAAAGTGAAATGGAGGGAAAGGGAGCAACACCTCGGCATAATCAAATTAAGGAGGAGCGGCCGGCTCGTATCGCGACGCAAGTAATTCAGCCCGGACTCCGGTAACCCGTTCGTACCGCGGCGCGTAAGGAGCGTAATACGCTTAAAAAGAAGGGTATGACGTCACGAGGAGGTGGCACGCGGCGCGTGCCGTCGGATGGGGTACGAGTTATCGTGGCTCGTGGAACAGAGACAAGAGACAAGCTGGGGAGTGTAACCGGTGCAAGTTGGAACGAGGGGAGGTAGAGTAGAGAAGCAGACGAAAAGGAATGGGAGGAAGGAGTAGGACGAAGATATAAAGATGAAGGAGGAGGAAGAGAAAGACAGGCGCCCCGAGGAGTCTCCACGACAGACAAGCAGGCAGGCAAGCAGGCAGGCAAGCAAAGCGGGCAAGAAGTCCGCACGAGTGGCTGGGGTGTCGTACAGAGGCTATGGTGGTGGGGGTGGGCGCGTGCAGCCGGCCTGCAGCTGCCTCTTTTACCATCCTCTTCCCCTCGTTTCCCTCGCCCAAATTCCCCGTACCCCTCTAGAGTTCCACACGTCGTACCACCGGCGCAGCCGCTACCCACCACCCCTCTAGTTGGCCAACCCCTCCCGTCGGGGGCCTGGCGGGACCACAATTATAAGTAGGGGTGCTCCCGGCTTACTACCTCCAGTCGAGGGTTGCACGCCGTGGTGTAGACGCGCGGGTACATAGCCCGTCGTTCCACAAACTTGTAGCGCACGCGTGTACGGACGGGAACTAGAGAGGAGAGGATTTCAGTTAAGAGGAAGACGGACTATAGTTTACTATTCTCTGCTATCCAAGGATATATTCCCTACATTGTCGTGGCAGACGGACAAAGATAGAAAGTATCGAAGGGATAGAAGACGCGCGCGCACTGACACCGTATAGTTAACACGATTCAACGTTCCTAAGTTCCTATACGGTCATCGTGCACGCGAAAGCAACCGAGATCGGACTCGCCATCTGTCGATCGCGCGTTGCCAGTGTTTCGTGAGCAGTCGATGGTTATAGTGATTCCCCGAGTGACCACAGTGTGGCGCTAGTGTTGCCTATTAGTGGCGCGGAAACACGTTCGACGATATATACAGCTTTTTCAGTGGGAGTTACGATCGTACACGTATATACGGTGTACATATCGAGAGAACGGAGAAGGATAGGAGTGCATTTAATGGGACACAGAGTGAGATCAAGCTGTACTCGTATACGGACGTATGTACGCACACGATTAAGAAGTACTTTCACAAAGGAAAATACGGGCTTACTGGCACCGGTACCACGATCAAGGGGCGCATCTCTGGATCCAGTAGTAGCTCAGCTGCGGAGTAGTGCCTTTCGTGCCGGTTCTCTATAGTGTGTAACTTCTCCTGCTTTCCCCCCTCCCTTTAGCTCTACGAAAACTCTTCCCCTCTGTCGGTGTGCGAAGGCAAAAGCACATTGACTCTCCCGTTCGTCTTTGACTCGTCACACACGGTGAGGGTATCCTCGCTCCACCTCCACCTTTGCCTGTACACCACTACCCTTCTCTTCTTCCTCCTACTCTTTTCTCCATCACCACCGCTACCACCACCACCACCACCACCACCATCACCACCACCACCACCACTAGCATCACTTCTCCTCTCGTGCTACTCTTGCCGGCGGTCTCCGAGGGAATATTCCTCACGGTTCGTCGACGGCCAGTCAGTGCGCGACTCGTCGTTGTTGCGACGGTTGGCGAGGAGGAGAGTGTTGTATACGTGCCTTTTCGTGGAAAATTATGCTCGTGGCGGATTGTCGTGCTCCTCGTCGACGTAGTGGCTCGTGTACCGCGAATGAACGCTCAACACGAGCGTAGTTGTGAGATTTTTAATATCGATCAAAGAGCTGAAGAAAATAAAAAAAAGATTATCGAGTACACGATCTGTCTACTATATTATATATATATATATATATACACACATAGAGACAGAAAAAGAACCCGGAGAGATATTCAAATCATCATCCAACGAATAGAAAGAGAGAGGCGTCGCCCAAAGGATCGCAAACCATTAGTGTGTTTTTCATAGATCCTACGCGCAAAAATATTTATCCCATACCCTGTTGGACGAAGCTGTTCTACGACTCTCAGCGTCCCACGGATAATGGAATAAAGTGTGTCACAGTGTTCAGTGATCGCGCGTGATTTTCTAATATTCTCGCGGCTATCGTGATTACCTCTTTGCCACCGGATATACATAAATATAAATAAATATATATATCAGCATCATTTTTTTTCTAAGTGTATTATACAGTGTGCTACAGACCAGCAGAAGTGACCGCGCGAATCATCCGTGAGTTAGCTTCGTTTCGACTTTATTTTTTTTTTTTTCATTTTGCGTGAAGTATAAGCCGGCCAAAGTTTTCTTCAAATACATATTGAAACAAGGATTACGTATATCAACATCTTGACGAAATCGACCAACGAAAGAAGGAAAACAGTGTGTGTTGAAGGGATACAGTAGCTCGTACCTTCTACGGTACGGTGGCTATGCAGCCTCGCGAAATTACGGCGAGGAGGTAACGCCGACGAGCACACCAGAGCACCACGGTCCACACACTTCCGCCGACGACGCATCGGCGGCGTGTAAACATCGAACGAAACAACCACCAAACATGTGGACCACGATGCTCGTGTGGACGGCCGCCGTCGTGCTTCTGCCAGCACCCCGAGCGGTAAGTTTGATTTTTTATTTAATCTAATTTCGTTCTCTTTTATTCTTTTTACAATTTATTTCGATTCTATTGATTGTACATTTCGAAATTCGAAAAGGTAGAAATTCTTCGAAAAGAAGTTTATTTAGGCGCGAAGTGTGAAATTTGTCAAAAATTTAAATGCCGCCTTTTCTTCTTTTTCTTTTTCTTCTTTTTTCTTTTTTTTTTTTTTTTTACGTCTGCTCGAAAAAGATACTTGAGAATTTCTTGGAAATATTTCTGTTTATTTTTAGAGGAATGGTCGCTGTATAACGCGTTGCAAAACATCTTTTTAAACGGACGTCAAGATGTTTTACAATCGCTTCTTCCGAAATATCTCGTGCCTTAGTCTCATCATTGTTTCTTTTTTTCGAATCTGTAATTCTGTTTCAACGTGATAAAATAGAATTTCGATCGAATAAAAATAATCCGAATACATGACACATCGAATTACGTTCTATTAATTTTTTTACCCGCAATCGTCTCGATGTTCCGTCAATCATCGCTCCGCTCGGTTTCATGGGAATATTGCTTAAAGCGTAATTGCAACGCGCCATCTTTCCAAACTAGCAAAAAAGATTAACTACGATCGATCGATAACACGTATTATAATAGAATCGAACGGGATCACGGAAATTTTGAAAACTTGCAGTACTTCTAACAATGGAATAAGGTGTATGAATATACGAATGAACGGATTATTTTGTCAACGTACTTAATCCGTGTCGCATGTTGTCAAACGAAATAAAGAGAGAGATAACCTATACGTTTGTCAACTGAAACATCGTAAGCGACCTTCGTCGTTGTCGATGAATGGCGCGATGTTTTGATTCGGAATCCAAGAGACGTTCCCCGTCTGTCAAACCGGTCGTAAGCTCTGTTGGTATTTATGGTAAAAACGATGACACGCCATCGATGGGTGCGTTCAGAATAGAAGCTCGTCTCTATATATTTACAGTCTCGTTCTGGTGTGTGCGCGCGCACACTACCGATACGTTCTCCCGCGTCTAATTAAGTACTTGCGTAAGTGCGATCGCGGCTTATATTTATCCAGTCGAACGCTATATCTGTAAATGTGTGTACGGTTCGATCGAGCTGCAGAATGCTTTCCAATTTTAACTCACCTTCAATCTGTTTTTCTCCCTGTCTCGTTTTCCTTTTCTATATTCGTTCGGAAAAAATTTAGTTTCATAAAAATCAACGTAACAAAGTTCGTAAGTTTCGTGTTTGCGTGTATAATAGTTTCATTTCTTTTTCACGCGCTAGTCACCACGGGTTCCAAGTGTATTCTTCCTGGGAGAGATGTTTTTTTCATTCTCTGCTTTTCTCTCTTTCTCGCGAAGTCCTTGCTTCTTTGCTCTGCTCCTTGTCCCTCCTTCGCTTGTCGTCCATCTTTTTCTTCCTCTGTCGGCCATGTCTCGAACCATCCGACGAAAGAGGAGAAAACCAGTGGTAACAGTTATTCGCCGACATACAACTCTAAATCTGGATCACTCTTTTAGAAGTGTCTAGCTTCTCATCTCTTGCACGTCATATCGAACCGGTCTTTTCTCTTTTCATCTTTCCGACTTTTAACCGGTGCAATTTTGATATTAGATCTTTTATCATTCCTCTGATCGATGAAAAGTAGTTGAGATATATAACCAGAATGTGATATGGAATCACAGTATTCAAGGGGTGCCTGTAGAAAATTGTTTTGTGACGAAATAACGTTGGTTGTATCCGTAAATAGTCGGCGGCGGCCATTCTCGTTCCGAGAATAGCACTCCAGCGCGCCAAAAATGAGAATTCCTCATCGAGAATCGTGGCGAGTCGCTTATGTGTACGCGTTACCTCTAACCTGCTGTGTTTTACGACGTGTAATGAAAAACGTTCGCGAGGAAATATTTCTTTCGTTCGATCGAAGTCATGTATATTTTTTCTTGTTCCGATTGTAAGACTCGTAAAACGTCTCCTGTGCTTTTTCTCTGTATGCAAAAAAAACGTGTGAAACGACCATTTTAACATAAACGCGATAAAGAAAGCACTTTTTTATGTTTATTTTTTCACCTGCTGAAAAAAAGGAGAAAGAATGTCGGTGTCTCAGGGTACGAAATTCGAAGATCGCAACGGGGGTATAATGGACGTGCAAGAGGGCCATGGCGAGATCGTAAAACGATCCGCAGGCTCGATAGTAAGGTTAGTGCGCTCCTCTCGTTCACGTGAGACACGATATATGTATAGTTTTGCTCGACTATACAATGTCTCGTGGGAAGGCTCTCTCGACTGTCTGCTGGCCTATACACTACCTTTGTATGTTCACTTGCGCACCTGTGAATGTTGTGTGTGTGTGTGTGTGTGTGTATAGCCTTAGGGCATTGTCCACAGTGGTCAAGAACTCTCGCCGTCCGAACGACGACAAAGAGCAGAGTAGAACCGGAGAAATATTGACATATCGACTCTATTTACACTGGATACTGTCGCCAAAAGGAAAATCATTCCTCCCAAAATGCTCTTTGATTCACGAATCTTAACCTTTATATGTGTTTATGCCTATTACTAAAAGTCTTCGCAGAGTGACATTGTAGGATAGTAAACATTTTGTTACAAAGTAATCACTAGTTCGATTCCATTCGATCGATTTGAGGTTTCTATTAAGATGAAATACAAAAAATCCTCTAGATGTCTCTAGTTGCGCAATTTCTTCGACACATCGAGAATCGTAATTAATTTTTCGTTAATATAGTGATACGATGAGAAACGATCAGTAGCATATGCTAATACGTTTACGACTGATTCCAGTCACCTTCTTTTTTTTCTCCTTCTCATGAAAACGCCCCTCGTGTTCCATAATCATCGAGGCTCGACAGCACGCGTCGCGAAATGTTCATCTGCGCCTTTAGCACTCTTTCCTTTCTTTTTTTCTTGAGAAGAGCTTTCTCGCTCACGTCTTTCCGAACGAAAAAAAGTACTTTTTGTCGGGTCACTCGCGTAGATATCTCTGCTCCTCCTGGGAGATGTGCAGCACAGAAGATACACGCGTGCGCAAAAACGCGCTTACACACGTGCTGCCCCGGCGGCGTGTTCGGTCGTTGGGCACGAGACGACCCCCCGACGTGGAGTGTGTTAGCCAAGTTTGTTTGTCGCGCGTTACACATTCGCTCGAAGAATTCGACGGTTTTCTCGTATCTTCTTCTGTCGTCAGTAACAGTTCGCAGAATCAAGTTAAAGTAGGGTATAAAAAGTTGCGTCAATGGCGGAATCAAATGTGTTTTGCGTTTTCAATCTTTTTCACCAAGTGGCGCTGGTGCGGTGTTTGAATGATGCGTTGTGATTATGCCTTCAAGATTCGTTATTGGTTATGTTATAATTGATACATAATAGAAATTGATAAGGTTAGAAATATCGATGATTATTAATTTGACAGAATTTTTGTTGAATGAAATTCGATTTATTTTCAGGTAAATGCTTCTGGGGTGTTCGAGTTGAGGCTGAAGTCATTCGTGAACGAGTATGGAAAAGACAGTCTTGGCAAGTGCTGTTCAGGCAGCACTTCCAAGACTGGTGAGTGCTCAGGCGTTTGTAAGACCAGGTTCAGGGTCTGCTTGAAACAATATCAAGTGAAGATCGACACGACGACGCCGTGCACATACGGCGACGTCGTCACACCCGTTCTGGGTGAGAACATCGTTAATCTCAGCCCCAATGTCGCCATTCCAGGCTTCACTAATCCCATCAGATTTCCATTCGACTTCACGTGGCCGGTAAGTGTCTTTAGATATATTTTATGCGTTATTTTTCTAGAATAATAATTATTTCAACGAAAATAGTATATTTATGTATATCGATATTTCAATTCTGCAATAATCATAAATTTCTTATGTCGATGAGGTTAAAATTGAGGTTAGGTTCTTGATTGAAATACATTTTAATGATTGCAAGTATGAAACATCGTTAAACAATTTCCAACTGTTTCTATTAAAAATATTATCTTCGTGTCTGACAGAATTATGCGATAATACAGATAAATAAAACATCGCCGATGTTTTATGCTTTTGCTTTTCCATACTTTTGCTATTTACAAGCATTAACATATCGCGTGCGCAGAACGCGAAAAATCATTCGTAACATAAACGGAACTGAAAACGACACGTAATAAATCGTGGAAAAAAATCGATCTATTATGAATGCCATCGTATGCAATCGTGTTTTTCTCACGCGCATTTGCGAAACGTTTATTAGATAAACGTTTTCCGCTTGCTACAAAGACTTCATTTCTAACAATAATCTTCCTCGACGATCGTGGTTCGTCATTTTTTCGCCAGACTGTATCATGCTAGCTAGAAAAGGAAGGAGATCATTGTAGAGCGTTTTGTTGGTGATCAGAGCGTGTTGTAGATACAGTTAGCCGATTTTCTATTGTACATGTATACATAATGTCTCTTCTTAGATCTCTGTCGAGAGGAAATGACACCGGTTGACGAACGCGGTTCCCAACTTTGATCCTTGTCTTGAATAATGAACGCGCGTGGAAGATTAAGACCCTTTCGTTGACTTAACCATGAGGGAGACATGTGCGAGCTCACCGGGGAGTAAAAATTGCTCGTTGTATCAGATTCAATCTTTGCCCCTTATCTTTCCACATTCCCGGTAAATTAATTCTGGCGCGAGCTAAATTATAGTCGGGTCAATATGATATTTTCATATTTTACAAAGTTGCTTGAAAACGATATGATTCTAGATTTTAATTTTTCAAAAGAAAAATTATCAAAAGTGATCTTTCGTTTTATTTTTATTTATTTTTTTGTATCACTTTGTATAACAAAAAAAAGTAATGCAACTGTTTGAATTACGTTGCAGAGAACTGTTAGCTTCTTATCTTTGTTCGCTTTCTGCTGGTACGACACCCAACAATACAATCATTTGAAAGGGTTGTAAAAGGTTTCTTTAGTGTAGCGTGATATTTTCTCCCGTTTCCGTTAGGATCGATAAGGAAAAATTGAAAAGCAAATTGGCTGATTAGCTGTCGCTTCGCTTTGCTTGTATTTTTGAAAGCAGACCACTTTCCATTGTTGAACACGAAATAAAATTGCGTAAAATCTCACGAATACATCGCACCTGCCCATCGCACGTATAACCGATCGCCTCGAGTAATTAACCTCGTGGCGAAAAAAAAAATAAAAAAGAAGAAACGAAGGAGAAGAAAAAGAAGAATTCGCGAGGAAGGGAAAAATTACAGAGCCCCCCTTCGTCTTCTTCCTACTTTCTCGCGGTCGCGACGAAAGAAAGGCAGGTCGATCGCATTAAAAACGAACGTTTCGTGGGCACGATGCGCGCGTGCACGCACAGCCGCGCGCAACAGTGCGACGAGGATGACCAAACTAATGGCAGATGGTGCGAGAACCGGCGGAGTAAGCAAGACGAACGATGGCACTTGTCTCTCCCTCCTGCTGTTACTGTTATTACTTGCTTGTTGTTGTTTCGATAATTCTTGACATTGGCGGGAACAGTATAATTTTTCCAAATAATTTAGAAGTGTTATAGATTAATTTTTATATAGATGAACATTTCATTATTAATAGAAGTCGTGTCGTGTAGTGTAGAGGTTAGAATGTTTAAAATAAAAATTCATCTACAAAAAAAAATAGAGATAGTTAGTATCAGTTTTAATATTTAATATTCGATATATTCAACAATCAGTATCATAGAGAAACTGGAATACTATCAAGTTCAAATATCCTCGTTATATAAAGCGACACATTCTCAAGATGGCTCGTATACGTCCGCTCGTTAACGCGTGCCATCGAGTACCATATCTACGCCAATGTTTGCCCACCATCTCTGGTGTACGTCAGTTCTTCTCGTTGCTGTTCGCGTATAGTACTTCTGCCTATGAGACGCACTGCAGGGCCACTGGCAGATGGCTAGGCCTTTTGTGCTTCTACACTTCCCTCGTAATCTCTCTCTGGCTTTCTCTCTCTCTCTCGTTCCTTCTATTTCCCGTCCTTGTTGTCTTCGAAGCTCTCTCGCGGGCAGAGTTAAATTTACTAACCCATATGGCGCCCCTCGCGCCACCTCTGCGCCAGTTCCCCTGTCTCACTTCAAAAATCCGTCCTGCTCGTTCTTTTCCCTCGTCGTGTTTTAGAGCCGCGTTTCTCCATTGTTTTTCATTTTTTTTCTTCTTCTTCTTCTTCTTCAACAGCGCGTTATTTATTTATCTTCTTCCTTCTTCTCTCGCTGATTTTTTCTCGTCGAAATTTTTCTACTGTATCGTTTAACCTGCTGCCCTCTGTCTCGATTCTCTCCCCCGACTCTTCACTACCGTAGTATCGGCCGATATTACAAGTTATATCGGGCAGCAAAAGGCTGCCGGTTCGAAGACAGAAACTCTTCTCGACGATGAGGAGGAAAAAAAAAAAAAAAAAAAAAGAATTGATGTTCTTGGAAGAGAGGAGGCTGGCCGGAATCCTGCGTGTGGAAACAACCTTTGAATCGGCACGGTAGTCTGTCTTCTTATACCAACGGCGGGCGACGTCAGGGAAAAGGAATAGGCGGCGTCGTAACGTGTAATCGCTATTTGGAGTGTCGGATTTATTTTCGTTGCGCCAGTGCGTGAGAATGGGTTTTCATTCAGCAAAAAAAAAAAAAAAAAAAAAAAAAAAAAAAANAAAAAAAAAAAAAAAAAAAAAAAAAAAAAAAAAAAAATCCTCGTGCAACTCGATAATAATCCTCGTATTCTAATGAACAAAATCTGATGAAAAATACTCCCGCGTAATGTGGAAGATAATTTTTATTCGAAAGTATTTAACACTGTATCCCTAACGGAAAGGAGGAAATCCTTCAAAGTCTGAACGCACGGACGGATCGACGTGCCGGAAATGCGCTAATTACAGCCACTACCGGGAGTCGCGGTGCGTAGACGCAAAAGCAACAATGTATCATTAATAACAGTTAGCTTGGATAGATGAGCTTCTTTCACTCAATGCGTGAAAAGACGACGAAAAGATGACGGGTTGAAATAAATAAATACATCCCGTCTTCCCTTCGTGATTTTTTACGCTGGATTCATTCCTGGATTCCTTTCTTAATTACCATGCGTCGGTCGATCCAACAGAGATAAAAAAGATGATGGGGGAATCGTCGTGTTACCGAAAGTTAGTCAGAAAAATAGTGAAGAAGAGGTTGGTTGCGCAAGCGTGTTCTGGAATACGCATGTCTGCCGTTAATTAAAAGACAGAAACGTTCCCCCTAGCTTGATACACGTAATCGTAACCTTCGTCTGGTTGCATCAAGATCGAGAGTCGCACTCTTCCCGTCTCCTTCTCTCTCTCCGTCGTTCTTGGGTTAATTGCTTTACGTTACACCGTGTTGCGAGACTTATTAAAACAGCACGATTCGCGACAGTGCCGCTATTGTGCAGAATCGTCGAGGAATTCACTTGATTCTGTCGAGTTCTCTATGAACTCGATCTTTTGCTTTTATTATTATATCTTTCTCTATTTTAATATATTTTTCTCTATTATTTTTCTTGGTATTCGTTAATTATTTTTTTTAATCTATTAAAATTTCTTCCTTCTATTTTTAACATGTTCTATTTATTATCCTTTCGTCGGTAAGATCAATTTATTCCCTCGCAAATTCTTATCGATAATTTCTCGCCATTACAGGTAACGTAATCCTTATTGTCACCCGAAAAACGGTTGCACAAAGATGATCGGGTCGGTTCAAAGAATCATTAAAAAAATTCCTTTCTTTTCCTTATATCTTTCCTGTGTGTCCGCGGTCCACAAAGCACAAGCGGAGCCGCGCGTATCGTACATACTCGAGGATCGTGGGTACCAACCCGAGAAGGACGTCGAGCACAGAGAAAAAGAGAGAAAAGGACAAATGAAAGGCTCGCGCCGCGCGACCAACAGAGACGGCTAAGGATAGAGAGGAGCATAAAGGTGGCATACACACATACAGGCGCTCACGTGTATATATATATATATATATATATATATATATATATATATATATGATACGTATAATATATATATATATATATATATATATATATATATATACGTAACCAACCGCGTAGAGAAGGTGGGGAAATGACGAAGAGAAGGTGGGACCGAAAGAGACAGAGAATCGTGGTCCCACGGCCGAAAAGGCTGCGTGATTCGCGTCCCAGACGAAGGAACAAGCGGAGAAGGGCGTCGGATGAATGGCTGACTCGGGTATACGCCGATACGCGGCTTCCACGACGTGAAACGTTTAGCATAAATTACGTCTTAGAGACGGGGAGAGGACTCGAACGCCGGCTGACCGGTACTCTACCCGACTCAGCTCCACGATGCTCGGAATACCATGAGTTTTTTATAACCGAGATATACACCGGAGGGATTCGGTGAAAGTTTTGCAATTGTAGATGTCGGTGATCTCTCGAGGCAAGTGGAAAACTGTCGCTTCGTTTTTCTTCGTCAGTAAAGATTATTAATAGGGAATCGTAAAAGAATATTAATTCTGATATGTTATAAATAATAATAAAAGTCTAAAGAATATAATATTTTTGAAAAGAAAATATATGTTAATTTTATTAAATTGATGTATCAGTAAATTCAGTCATAGTATTCATATTTGCCAAATTTAGTGTTTCGTTTTTGCGATATGACGTAAGATGCTAGTATAGTGAAGTTTGACGCGAACAGATGAAACGAAGAAACCTACTTCACGATGCATAACTTATTGCTAGTAAGATTTTAGACTAGTAGAGTATCTT